GGTATCTTTTGGAAAGCTTTCAATGACATGTGATTTTGATGAAACGTTTCAAAGATATTTCTGAATGATTTCAATTTTACATTTCAATATTAGTTTCCAAGTTATCTTTCGGAAAGCTTTCTGAAACTTGTTTTGCTGTGTGGGAATCTCCAAAATATTTCGGCGCCCAGCAACAGGTCTATCCTGCCGGGCATATGGAAAGTGGGGTCTGCCAACTTAATGTTCGATGGGATTTGCAGTGAATCCACGTCCACGTTTGTTGCTGGTAGATTGTTGGTAATCTTGTTGACAATCAGGAACGATAATTTTGCTTGAAATTTGTTGAATCTTGAATGAATGGTAGTAGTTGTTTGCCTTTCCGCCGTGGATGAAGTCATGCTGATGCCACTTATGATGGTGTCTGCGCTACGTCGAGGCAGCTTCAAGCGCTCGCATAGCTCTTGCGATAGGAAATTTGCCTGCGATCCGGAATCTAACAAAGCCCTGCACTCGTGCAAATTTCCGGCTTGATCGCAAACATAAATTATGGCCGTTGACAGTAAAATGTGTGATAAGGAACCATTCGTGTGACAAGAGGATAAACTATTACTGACATTTGAAACATTGTTATTAGATGCGTTTGTATTTTTCGGTTCCTCCGCTGAGGAAGCAAGCGCGTCTTGTTTGGTATTATCTTTGCCGCTTGAGGGGGCATTCGAAGCAGCAGTTCCATCAATGTGAAGCAGTGTGTTATGCCTTTTTTGACATTTTTTGCATGATCCATACGTACATCCCTTGCCGTGGAATTGTTTCAGGCAGTTGTAACATAATTTGCAGCTTTTAACTTTCTCGATGCGAGCTTGAATGGACATGTTGCGAAATATGAGACACTCATAAATTTTATGAGTGTTTTGACAAATGGGACATGCTGAATTTTCAGTGCTGATATGAGCTTGTATTTGATTAGCTGACTTAGTTGACTGCTGCTTCGATTGACCCTGTGCCGCTTTGGAGATACTAAGTGTACCAGTGCGAGACAAGGCATCCAGGAAAGAGCATCTTGTCTCTAAAAATTTAGTGAAGTCCTCCATGCTGGGAAGCTCTGACTTGTCTGCTCTTTCGGACTCCCACTCCCTCCTGGTAATGCTATCAAGTTTTGGTATGAACAAATGTATAAGTATTGTGCCCCAGCTGTCGGTGGGTTGTCCGAGGCGCTTTAGTGTACGAAGATGTTGTTGCATGGTGTCAACCAATTGCCTGAGCGAAGAGTGTGACTCCTTCAAAATAATTGGAAAGTCAATTAATGCCTGCGTGTGATGTTGGATAATGATCTTATCGTCTTTGTATCGTTTGTTTACGATTTCCCATGCAACACCCACACAGCAAAACAAGTTTCAGAAAGCTTTCCAAAAGATAACTTGGAAACTAATATTGAAATGTAAAA